AGAAAATATTACTAAGAAAACGACAAACTGGTTCGGCCTGGGAATCGAACCCAAGACCTTCAAACTATTAATTCGATATTTCTTTAAGATTCAACTGTGTTTCTTATTAGAATATTATTGCTCTATAATTTGTTTTTAGAAGCTGTTCATAATCGGTTAACCAATAAATTGAAATATTCTTATAGACGCGACGCCAACACCACTTAATAATACCTATGCATATCGAGCATACATGGAAACCCTTTTAAACAATCTCATCTTACTTGTAGTTTTTGGCATGAGGATACAGCTGGAAAAATGGATTCTACAGGTGGTAAAAACATAGGATTTGTTAAAAGACAGGAATTGATTAGTGAAAGTAAGGAAATAGAAATGATTGGTCATCTTCACTTCGACATTATCAACCAAGATAAATTTTTAATTAATGGTGTTGAAATGAGTGTTAAATTGGTTCGATCAAGAGAAAGTTTTAATTTAATTGCTGGGTCAAACGATGTAAAGTTTAAAGTTTGCATTACAGATGCAACTCTTATTATTCGACGAGCACGAATTAATCCAAGTATATTATTCGCACATCAAAAAGTTTTAGCTTCTACCACTGCTAAATATCCTATTACTCGAGCTGAAGTAAAAGTTTTAACGATTCCATCGGGTGTTTAAGGAAAAACTCTTGATAATATATTTTTAGGGCAGGTACCCAAAAGATGTATAATTGGATTTGTGAACAATTCTGCATTTAATGGTTCCCTTACTAAAAATCCATTTAACTTTGAAAACTATGGTATTAATTCTTTCAGCTTATACTCGTATATTGACGGTCAACAAATACCTTGAAAAGCTTTGCAACCATCTTTTAGTAATAGTGTATTTACATCAGCATATCATACTCTATTCACGGGAACTGGTATTCACTTTCTTAATGTAGGAAATGAAATCTCTTGTGAACAGTATGCCAAAGGTTACTGTCTATTACCGTGCATTTGACTTTACTCCTGATTTATTAGCCAACTCATCAGCTCATTGGAATCTCATAAAGCATGGTAGTGTAAGATTAGAAGTACGATTTGAATCCTCACTAATACAAACAATTAACTGTATAGTTGATGCTGAGTTTGATATCAACTATAAGTTATTGTAATTATTGAGATAGACAAAAACAGAAATGTTACTGTAGACTATAGTAGTTAAGGTTATAATATGTGTTGTTTGTTAGATTTTACGAGTTATGTGTAATGCATTTTGTGTGTATGTAACTATGTGAAACGTTATAAAATTAAATAAAACACATTGTATGCAATATATTATTTTTTATTTCTTTATAAATCTTCTATTTAATCTAATACAAAACACTGTTCGAGTTTAAAGTTACACCGGACTCTTTCATCAGATCATCTAATAACAAGATGTGGGTTTTCACCATCAAGCAATTTAAGATTTGAAATTCCTTGATGATAGTTAACATTTGGTAAATTATATAAAGGTTGCATTTCATCAAAGCACCATGTGATCTGATTAAAATCACAATTACATATTTCTGTAACTGATTTTATGAAATTTGTTACAAAATTTGACTTCCCACATCCACTTGGTCCTGCCACAATAGCAGTAAACGGATGTATAAAGTGAAAAATTACACACGTCTAAAGTTCTAAGGGGTGAAATAAAAAATAAAAGTGTTGGTGTAGGTAAACAATTAACATATATTGTGTACTATAACTAATGTTTTTGGGAAATCAAAAAAAATTATGATCAATTTAAAATTTTATTTTCAAGCAATAACCACTTGTAAAAAACCCACACTTCATCACAAGAACAATGTAAAATTTTGTGATTATTTTTTGAAAATATGTGATTATTACACACATAACGTTTGTTTAAATTTTTGACATTTACCAAATCATTGTATTTTGGACATTTGTATTCTTCAATATTAAAAATTCTATAATTCGTCGTCAACACTTTTAAAAATTGTTTTTCTGCTGAACCACCTTTGTATGCGATCACCTCGTCTATGCACAAATTTCTAATGTACCAATTTAATATGGGAATGATGTTCTCTTGTTTGTAGGCACATTTTAATTCTTTGGTCACGTCAAAATATGGAATGCCGTGCACGTGTGTTTCGCAATAACGAACCGTTTTTTTGTCTTTTGGCAACAAATAATTGAAAGGATAACTTGGCTGAAACAAATAATGATCGATAAACGCATAATTTTTATTAGATAGTTTTACGTCTAGAATAGCCATTTCTCTACATTGAAAATGTTTATGAGGATATGTAATGTAAAATCCGTCCATGTCGATGATGTATCTAATATTTTTTAGATTTTGTGTCATTTTGAACCAAAAAGTTAAAAGTATTTACCCGTGACTAAAAATATGTTTGTTCCAAAAAACTTCACATAACAATGCTTCATTACTTCCCATCATCCCATCTCTTCCTTCTGCTCTTGTTTTCCTGTAATTTAAGTAAACAGAATCACATTCACTAACGATCAACTAATGACTGTCATTGTTAAAAAAAGTATTTTTTAACTTTTTCAGTTTCTGCTATTGTGTTTGTATTCAGAGCTAGGAAATGTCCGCCGCGCTGCCTCAATGCGTGTTAGCGAACTTCACATGCTTTCGAAATTTTCTCAGACATGCATGTTTCCTCAAGATGTTTTCCTTCACCGCTGAGCACGTGGTAAATCAGCACTTAAAATTGCAATAAACAATTTAATTGGTGCCGGCGGGGATCGAACCCGGATCGCGTACTGTGAAATTTACAGCTTGCGCTTACCGTCTGAGCTACCACGTCTTAATCATATACACACATAATATTTAAATATAATTTGTTAACACTAAATCATACACACGTAAGAAAATAACAGAAAGAAAAGTAAGTTTGTCAATAGAATAAACACTTACATCCAAGGCTTTGAGCGTTGAAGTAACACAAATGTAGTATTGATAGAACCACTGCGGTCAAACGACTATACACTAACTCCATGACTGCAGCTGCTCGGTCTTATATAGTACCAGTAAGTAATAATTCTAATCTAAAGAATTTCTGCAGTGGAACCGATAGTACGAGTAACTTTATACGTCAACAAGCTTATCTCACATTTTGTTGCTGTTCTCAACATTCCTTCGTGTTGCATCTTGTTCAGTGTATTGATGACTCAAATGCGGATTGTATAACACAAAAGAATGCAATTTAATATTTAGAAATCGCTATAATTGATCGTTCCTATGTTAGTCATTGAGTAGATTGGTACTGTAATAATCTACTAATAGCAGTAATATCATGGATACACTAGATGTACAACAACATCTGAAACAGATTCACCCCAGTCTAGAAAATAATGTTTATACTGCTAATAGACTGCCCATGTATACCCGCATTTTATATACGTTGCATATTATATACGTTGGTACGTACCAACGTATATAATATGCAATTTGGATACAGATGATAAACCAGGGTCACATTGGGTAGCTTTATATATCGATTCGAATGACGTCGGTCAATATTTTGATTCATATGGACGATCATCGTACGATATCATGTAGAGTTTTTAAAAAGGAATTGTAAAAGATGGAACTGGAATGTTGATAGGATTCAGAATGAGTGGACTTCAGTTTGTGGCGAATATTGCTTAATGTATTTGTTATATAAGTTTCAGGGATGTTCAATGCATAGTTTTACGAGTATATTTACAGGGAACACATTGTACAATGATATTTTAGTGGATGAGATGTTTCGCTCCTATTTTATAGACAATAAGTAATAAGATTTTGTATTTTGTAAATAAAAATTGTAACAAAATTAGGTAATGTGTTTTATTGATGATTCAGATTAGCGTTGTAGATAGGAACAAAGAAGTATAATACAATAGCACTGATAAGATACGCCGAGGAAAAATAGACAATGACGGTATTCAATGAACAATAGATAAATAGACAAGAACAATGGGGCGCTAATGACGGTGGAGGCCCTCACCGGATAACAATTAGATAAGAGTTAATTGATCTGCACATCTCAGGAACCGTGCATCCTACGCAAAAACGGACCGCAGATTCGTGATCAGAGCATGCCAAAACCTTTTTTTTTTAGGATCATGAGTCGACGAACGTTGTACCACTTCTGACTCAGTGAGCCAGAAGTGGTACTACCTATCTACTTGCAACGGTAAAAGTTGTCGCATAGCTATCACTGTTAATCTCGCTTACGAACCATCTATTACTCTAATGGATATTAAACAGACTGTTTGATCTTTATAGCATTTTTCAAAGCAATTTTTTTCACTACGCACGAAAGTGACGGGCTGAAATATTATCTTTTGTCGTCAAATGGTTAAAATGTTCAATTTTATTTAGAGATGGTGATTCTATTTCACATATCAAATCACAAAACAACAAATATAGTAAAAACATTGAACATACATAGTAAAAATCCAATTTAAATGCAGTTTAAGTTGAAACCTTCAAGTTTAATTGGTGGAATTAACATAACACAAGAAGTTTTAACAATTATAATATAAGAAACAATAGAACCGGTTATCCAAATATTCCAAAATCCGGTATCCATTATTTTATATCTGATGAGTGTTTTATTGTAAGAAATGTAGGGAGTTAGGAGGAATGCAAGATATGAAAGGATGTATACAAAGATCAAGATAGAAAATTACTAATCGAGTCATTATTTCGTTCGACGTGACATGACGGCAGCAGCGGGTAAAAATTGTCGAAAAAGTATTATCCAGTTGTTTGCAAAGTGGGAAAAATAATACACATACTTTCTTAACACCAAGATTTAATATATATTTAGAAATACATCTATCTTTTTATTAACTTAATTTATACAAAATATGGTTATAAATATCGAAATAAAAAAATTCAATACTTTTTGGAAATACCGAAAGTTTCAACAAATGTGTACAACAAAAGAAGAGGTATAAAAGATATAAATATTTGGCGTTTAAAACTACCCTTCTGGTTATCACATTGTCGTTTAACTATGTGTGTGTGCTAAATTTAGTAACTTTTCCATTGTCGTTGACAGTCGTCTCGGTGGTTCGCTCGCTTTGCACTTTCCCATCTTTGTCTACAGATGAGGTAACCGAACTGGAGACACTTTTGTAGAAACTATCCGAACCGGTTTTGCCATCCGGTGATTGCTGAAACATTATTCAATTTATATATATGCAATACATGCGTTTAGTTTATGCATGGCTTGGCGATGTTAGAATTGGCTGTGGCGCTGGGGGTTGCAGGTTTATTTCCCGTTCAGAACAAGTATTTTATAGCTGACATATAATTCTTTCGTGCCTGTTTATTACTTAATGCAATCTATGTATTTATATAAACCGTCTCCGGGAAATTCCTAGCGTGAGTAACTTTTCAATAGAAAATATTGGGGTAATTTAAAACATACAAAACGACGATCATATATATCATAATATAATAATTGTAATTGGGTGCAAATTAAACTGACTGTTGTTTAATGGCATTATCGTCCTCTGAAAATCTTCATTGTCCTCTACACACTATACACTATTTTTGTTTGTTATTTATCTGTGCAAGACTGTAATTTTATGATACTGTTGCGCGAATAAGTCGACGTCATGTATCTGGCACTAGCGCCATCTAGTGTCAAGGACGAGAGCGAGGGGAGCTTTCCAGAAAATGACATCACTAATCTTTCAACCGACCGCGCCATCTAGTCTCGGAACGAAGAACTAAGCTTCTAGAAGTCGACAATCGAACTCTCGGCCCCTTGCGCGTGGTTACTTGAATATTCTGGATGTTTCGGTACTAATTTGTATTTATAGGCGCTGCAAGATGCGATCGGGGAAGTATTGAATTCGGCGAGACAAGCGAAGCTTCGGAGTGGAATAAAGTGAATCAGTGTGATTAATTATTAGTGTTTTAAGTTTAATTAGTGTAAAGTGAATTAAAGTGTTAATTTAGGTAATTTTATCGGCAATTTTTAATTGTCACGAACCCTAAGATCGTAACAATACCATCAATAATAATTAGATAAAAACTTCCTAATTAAGAGTCTGTATGAAAAAGACTGTCATTCAAACGATAAGACTTAATAATTAATAACAAATTTAGGATTAAAGTACCTACCTACTTAATATGTCAATAATATTGTTTGAATAATTTTAATATATCGTCTTTATATATCTTCCACTTGACTTACCTACATGTCAATGTTTGCACCGGATTAATTTAAGTTTTTATTTTACGTTTTTAATGAAAACTGTATATATTTATCATAAAGTTTTATTTATAATTAGTGCAAAAATTTACGATTTATTTACGAAAGAGGAACCTTTTGACGACTTAGCATAGAAACGTTACCATTACTATAATTTCGATGAAATAAATGTGAGGTCCCATAAATCTGTTTTATTTCATTATATTGTTTCGATTTTTTTCTGAAATGAAGTCCTCATTTAATGTAAATCATGTTATTTGTTTTTTTTTTGTAAGTACGACATATAATGGAAAATACTGAAACAAAGCAATTTTTTCTTTTATCAAGCTTTTTTTGTTTCATCATGTGAATACAGTACATTTTTTTTTTTATTATATCACTAAAAAAATAATAAATTTTTAGATTTTTTTTTTTTTTATATTGGGGGGGGGGGGAGAGGGCTTATAAAAAAAAAGGGGGGGGTTTCCTTTTTTATGGTGGTTTTGTTCTCAAAACTTTGTGGGGCGGGGGTTTTTTTAAAGGAAACAGATATCGTCGTATTTTGAAAAAGATTTTGAAAGAAAAATAACCCAGTCGTCTTGAAATCTTTCTGCGTCTTTAGTTGACTAAAATGCACTTTTATGTTTCAATTTTATATCATATTGTCTACTAAATAACTTTCAAAGACCTTTGTCATCGAAATGCGAAATATTGTAGAAGTAATTCATAGTTTTCTGTATTTAGCATACTATATAAACTTCTAATTTTACAGCATATTTGTCTTCTATTGTACTATTAGTTTATTGTGTATTTTTATTGTTTTAACCGATTTTGTCTTGTTAAACTTACCAGATTACCTCCTAATGTACAGCTGGTCGTATTTTTTTCTGACATATCAAATGGTTTGTGGTTTCTGGATCCAAAATAATTGAAATGATCGTGTGGTGCGTACCTAAAGTCAAAAGTTAGAATGTAATTAAAATCGTTAAAAGCACCAAACGAGTTTTGAGCAGCTTCGAACACTGCACGTTGTTGGTTTGTAATGTTAGCAATTACACCCCTGTAATACAAAATAAATTTACACGCACATACAGAAACACAATTAGATACAAATTAGAACCAGAGCGAGTGAAACCGTAGAATGTAAAGAAGTTGATATTAAAAGTTTCGCAAGAAATATATTAGTCAAATCAAATCTAAATTATATCTATCTTACTTTAACTATAATCTAACTTTTGCCGAGGAGATAGTGGTAAAGGTGGAAACCAGAGAAACGGTGACATAGGTGGCAATAGTATCAACTGTTTGAATAGTAACCATGACCGTAAATTCAATAATGGTGAAAAAAACCTTCTAGATCTAAAATTTTAAATAAAAGTTCCTTTACAATTAACTAAGAATTTATAAAGACGAAAAACAAAAATTTCAAATTTATACTGTCGTAATTTTCATGTGCTATTCGTTTTTAGAACTGTCCGAAATGTCTTCTTAATTCAAGTTATGACTATAATTACACCATTGTAACAATTACTTAATTATTAAAATAAGTTAAAAATAATAAAACCGAGTTGTTCAATTTATACTATCGATTGAGTTCATGTAGTAGATATGAATGGAAAGAAGTTTTAAAACGGTAGTTTTTACAGTCCTGGTGCGACCCTTTTCCCTTATATATTGGGACTATGACGGCTTTGCACCAGTCTCCCGGTACCTGCTTCAGTTCCCAACATAAAATAAACAAGGTGTACAGCAGGCCTGCCACCACTTCCTGCCAAGCTCTTACCTACTCTCACGCTTTTCATCGCTTTCATTATTTCATATTTAATTATCTCCCTATCTCTTTCATCTTCTTTCGGTATTTCTATTTCATTTAGTTCACACATCTCCACACTCATAAATACGCGTTCAAAATATTCCTTCCATCTCTTTAGACTCAACACTTTATCATTCAGAATACAGCCGTTCTCGTCTCGCATCGCATTCAATCTAGCCTAGATTGAATGCGATACGATCTTGAATGTCCCCTGGTAGTTCTTACGATTTTCCAAAACATTTTAATATTTGCTTGGAAGTTATCCGATATTCTTCTATCATTCTTATCCGTTCTTTATTGCTTTTTCCTTTCAACTAATTCTTTTACTTTCTTGTTTAGACGTTTAAACTCTGCCTTTTTTCTTTCAATCTCATCATTCGTACCGCCAGAATTATCGGCTTTGGTTGCTAGTAAGTCTATCCATGTTCTCTTCTTTGCTTCAACTTCCATACGTCCCTCATCATCCTACTATAACCTATTATCTTTCCTTTCATTCGTTTTCTTACTAACACCACATACTTCGGTAGCTTCATCCATTAAACCCTTCTTAACATTATGCCTTATTATAATAACTTGTTTGTTAAGTCTAACTCATTCACACAAAATTCATCCAGATCACTTATATTTTCTCTTAGTCTACATTTGTACTAGTCTTTCACGTCTTCATCGTGTAACCTCTCTGTTCTTATACGCTGTAACGCAGTGGTAGATACAGATGTCCAATGCCGCCAACGTCTGAATAGATCCTTAATTTGGCGTAAAACCAGGCAGTGGTCCATCCCTACGTTGGCCCCGGTAAACCCTTGTATCCACCACTGCGCTCCTAATTTTTTCATCAACAGTTATGAAATCTATCATGCTTCTATCATCACCTCTTTCCCACGTTAACATGTGTATCTTCTCAACAAAAGAAAGTGTTCGTCACAAAAAGTTTATTTTCCACACATACGGTGAGGAGGCTTTCACCGTTCTCATTTATACTTTTATCACCAAACGTTCCCAATATCCTTTCATGGCCAAGCCTCTTCAACCCAACCCTTCCATTAAAACCTCCTAACATAACAATATTTTCATTTCCCTTACATTTCATTAACACCATCCTTACCATCTCCCAAAACTGCTCTCGGATATAAGTGGGCTTAGCCAGACAGACAGGCGTAGACTCTTAGAACAAACAACTTCTTTAAACCCACTTTCATTCGTATCCATAGCAGTCTTGGGCTTACACCTTCATACTCTTTCACACTACAGACTCCCTGGTATGCTTGCTCGGTCTCGTCTACACCGGACCCATACGCGGTATACATGCCATGTGTAGTGACATCCCTTCCGCTTCTTGTCATTTACACATAAGACATCTATTCCTAAATACTTATATTTATATTCTATTCCTAGTTATTTCATATTGCATACTTCATCCATCTTATCACTCATTGTTCCACATACATTCAGCGTAGCTAGACGGGACTCCGCAATCCTCTTTTCGCCCCTCCGGAAGACAGAACGTGACGGGTGGCGAATTTCGTTACCGGTTTTCCTCCCGGAGATTCTTCGCACCCCTGCCCCATTCAAGGGGCACCGGGAACTCGGGGCCATTTCCTTTCTTTTTATGCCTCATGGTGCGAAAACTAGGGGGTGGTATATTTTAATACCGCTACCACACGGCGAGGAGCCGAGTCTGTTCTTTCGGCTTTGTCGCTCTTTTAGCATCACGCGGGGGAAACATGTAGGGTGGGCCTAGGATTAGGTGGTCGAATCCTACGGACGCGAACAAATTATCCCCCCTATCGCATTAAATGAAGCTTTATTATAAAGAATTACTAAGCATTATTTCAGGGAAGTTGAAACTTGGATAAAAGTTAGTTCGTTCTCTTACACGCTTTTATTAAAAAAAAAAAGAAAGTTGCAGCCTATATATACGTCATGTTGCTGGGCAGAGACCTCATTTCATTTCTGAATGGATATTATCTGCTGAGCTGCTCCAGTGTGTGTTAAATGACTGCATTTGACCTCGAAATATTTTCATCAGACGTACAGGTTTCCTCATTATTCTGTCATTCACCGCTTAGTACGTGGTAAATCAGCGCAGTTAATAATTGGTGGCGGTGAGAATCGAACCAGGGTTTCTCGCTTTCCGTGAAATTTACGGGGAGCACTATTGGCGAATCTATGAGTACCACGGTTTTTATAATATTATAATAGTAATAAAATCTTCACAACATAAAACCACAGTATATGGGCTAAGATAACTTAACCGAGAGCCAGTAGCTTCAAATATTTAGCCAATATTGCTCATCGGTGTTAACTTCGTTAGAGCTTTGAATTTTTGAAGGCTTGACATCTTCATTTTATTTTGGCTTATAAAAGCATTTGTACCTTTGTCCTGCTGAATCTTTGTTGGTGAAGGCTCCTGCACAATCGGAGTTATAAGAATCTGTAACAAAAAGTAAATCAATTTAGGGTTCATCTTGTCAAGTAACGACGGGAAATACCAAATCATGTAAACACAGCAATTATAATCAAATTAGCTTGAACATACTATCTGTTGATATCATCAAGGTTTTTAACCGAGTTCAAAAAAGGAATAGGTTCTATATTGAACTCGTATGTTTTTTATGTATGTTCACCAATTTAATTGATTCGTTTTCATTAAACAGGTAATTACCAATTAGAGGTTGAACATGACATTGTATTTTTTTACTTTGATCTTATGATATTCCTTAGATCACAGAAAAGGGTAATTGGGATTGCAGATGCAGAAGAAACAGCGGTGGTGATAGCACGGAGCCTTGTGGAACACCAGCGTTAATAGGCTTGTAATCAGAGCATGCACCGTCTACTACGACCTTGATGCTTCGATTAGCAAGGAAGCTAGTGACCCAATTACACAATTTCTCGGGAAGCCCATAGGAAGGGAACTTCGAAAGAAGCGCTTTGTGCCATAGCCGATCGAAGGCATTCGCTATGTACAAACCAATGGCCAATGCCTCCCATTTGGACTCTACTGCCTCTGCCCATCTATGAGTTAGGTAGACCAGAAGATCACCAGCTGATCGACCACGACGAAAACCGTATTGGCGATCACTAATCAGCTGGTGATCCTCAAGGTACGTAACTTTTATTAAAATATAAATACGATCTAAAAAATTAAAAATTATTAGAATTATTTCCACACAATAACTTCTGAAGTTCCTTTAAGTCTTCAAAACGCTTTGACTTAGCATCAAATTCAGAACATAGGTAATATGGAAATTTTTTGTTTATTAATTATTATTTTTATTCTATGAAGTTAGTTTTACTTTTTATTAAGAGTTTAATTTTTTTGTTTTATATTGTCGCTTCGCCGGTTACTGTCGTATATATAGTGTAAAAACTTTCCATTATATTCAAACGTATTTAAAGCTCCAATTTTCAAATGTTTGAACTACTCGTATTTCTACCTAATGAAAGAAAATGATGTGTCCTGCCCTTCATGCAGAACATTTCATTTTGTTTCATTTCAATATAATGAATTTCCCCAAAGTAACGCCTGATTCTACTAATATGTATTTAGTGAAAAATTATATATGATGAATATGAAATATATGAGATTAAGTGTACTAAATTTGTATTAATTCAACCAGTTACAAAATGGTAATAATATTATGGCATATACTTCGTTACCATTTAATAAATAAAACCTAAAACTAGTTTTTTTTGTTCCTACAAATAAGTTTGCTGGTATTGTTTGATGAGTTTTGCAGGCGTAGTGACGATAATCAAACGCGAAAGATTTTAAATTATAATATTATCCTTTCTCGTATCTATGTATCTTTAATCTCTCATTATAAAACACCCCCCCCCCACACACACACACACACATCAATAAATTTTAAATAGGTGCTTTATTTAAACCACGACCACAAAACGAACACAATCATTGGAACCTTTTAACCGTTCATAAGAATTACACAAAAACAGTTATTTAAAAAAAATATTTAATTATTAACCAAACGGAATACCTGTTACGCTCAACGGAGCGATGCAAACTGTATTAGAACCAAAATGATACAACAACTATTATAGACGCGCGGTGTGACTGTGAGTGATGTGGCAACGTAAATTTCCGTGTTCGTATCTTATTGCCTTTAATTGGAAGTTCTGATGGAAAAATCCATATCATTTAGATTCGTAGTAGGTATTTGTAATTTTACGAATTACTTTTTAGGGTTTCGTAGTTAAACAACAAGGAACCCTTGTAGTTTCGCAATGTCCTACTGAAACTCCGTTCGTCTACGTTTTTATTCAGAGACCACAGGTGCTACAAAGCTGTAATTTTGGCGTTGTTATAGATAACCTAAAAAGTATTGATATAAAATCTGGAAAAATATTTTTATTTCGCGTACCTCAAATACTTAACTAACGTGACCATACGTTCCACTTTAGGTGGGACGGTCCCGATTTAAAGGTTTGGGTCCCGCTGTCCCCAAAATACGTAAAAATGTCCCGCATTGACAAATAAAAGCGTAGCATCATGCAAACTCTGTCACCCGTGCCATCATTATGACACCGCGCGTACCAGGTTTGCCAACATGGCCTGACTAGTTACGTGATTATTCTGAAAACCTACACTTTTGAACTTAAAGTTACGAAGTAACAATTTTGAATTAATCGACAATAAATTATCAAATAACATAAGTTATTTCTAATTAATATTTATTTGCTGTTCAGAAAAAAATAAAAATCCAGCAGCCAGATTTTATATGATTCTAAGTTCTCATTCGCAATTTTGATATTAAAAGATTCAAACAACTATCTGTTTTATTTTTAAAACTAAAATAAAGGGTTCCAGGTTGGTAACGGCTTCCGGAGGCACGGTGGTGAAACCCCGGCAACTTCAATAAGTTCGAAATCAATTGTCCGGGCTGCTACTGAGAATTTTGTGACAGAAAAACCCAAGAAATGATTCTTGGCCCGACTCGGGTTTCGCACTTGGGACCACATGATTAGCAATTGCGTTTACAACCAATAGACCAAGAAGACAGTCAAAAGTGTTAAAACTATAATAATTTTAAAGGTGTCCCGCTCTGAGGAAAAAAATAAATGGTCACTTTATACATAACCTACAGGTGATTTTTTAACCGTTATTCCATCGTCCGAGGTGTCGTTGGATAGATATCTTTCAAAAATATTGGGGTTAGAACACAAGTAAATATATGTATATGTATATATATATATATATATATATATATATATATATTTTTTTCGTTGTAAGTGAACCTACCTCTACATTGTGGCCTTGTGGCCGTGGCGACACACTTGGCAGGTTTTTATAATTTTAGAACTCGATGCTTCAAATGCTGTGTTTGTCTGCTATAATTTTTTGTTTACTGTTGAATATCGATCTGGTTAGGCAGCGTATTTGTTTGCCTATCTTTGTATATTAAATTCCAGTGTGCATGTGTTCGAAATTTTTCTCCTCTTAAAAGACGTTAATGAAATTTTTAGAAGGTACTTATGGGCTAACCTGGATGGTTTAGATAGTTTTAGCTAAAGTTCTAGGTAGGTGGCGCTATTGTCGAGAGCCTGAAATCACCCTTGCGAAGCCGGGGCGGATCTCTACTGTACAAGTTTTTACAGGTGGGTCTGCGGTGGCAAACTAAAGAGTAGATTGTTGACCCAAGTGGACGTGTAATGGGCTTGTTATGGACAACAATAAAAGGCTACTTATATATGTACACACACAAACACACACACACACACACACACACACACACACACACACACACACACACATATATATATATATATATATATATATATATATATATATATATATATATATATATATATATATATATATGACGAATATATCAACTACATGCAGACTGACAATATCACCGAAGGTTAACAATGTGGTTAAATAGGCACAAAGACGCTTACAATTACAATTCCGCGCGCTGACTCACCTCAATTGACCGTTGATGGCCGTTTCCACTTGTTTCAAGTTTCAAATTGTATTTTTAACTTAATAGAATTCTTTATTGATTTTAACGATTCAAAAGTGTCATTAAGGCCGTATAAACTGACTGGACTGGACTGCTATTTTTTTATAAAAGGAGGCAAAGGAGCATGCGGCTTACCTGGTGGTAATTGTCGATCGCCGCCCATGAACAACTACAACAGTGCAAGCGCGGGTGCGTTGCCGGCCTTTTAAAAAACATAAGACTCTTTTATTGAAGGTTCTTGAATCGTATCGGTCCGGAAAAATCGCTGATGGTAGTCGATATGTCGATAGCGTGAAATACTTTGCCGCTCTACTGAATATACCAAGCTTTTTAGAGGCCAATTTAGCCTTCTCTTCCAAGTGACCACGAAACTGTACGACATTCGATATGTCGACGGCGAGGATTCTGATACTGCCTGCAACTGCAAGGGGACGTAAGTGCCATGAAACGATGGATGAGGAGATACGATACGACAAAGGGTTTCTTTTTTTGCGGTAAACGCGCAAACTTGTTTCTTCTGGGGATTAAGAGGATTAAATACAAAAAAACGCGAAATTAGAAGGTTTCCTCGTTGAAATTATATTTTTTCCGTTCGTTGCTTGACATTACTTAGTAAAATAGTTTGTTTTCTCTACTAAAATAAGCTCAGAGCAGATTTTAGATAACTTATTCATTTATTTAATAATAATCATTCTCCCGATGCATGTTTAGGCCAAAACTCTGAGAGACATGATTTGGAGGCTCTAATTTGTAAATTCTGTTAAATATCAACCATCAAAAAATATTTTTATCTCCCTAGTATCTTATATTTTAATAATGATAGAATATATTTTCGCTATATACCTTTCACGCAAGGAAAAAAATCGACATATTTCAATTAAAGACCGAAAAAGCTTCGATACAAGCCCCAATAACTCCGAAATTCTATATCATTTTGACGTAAAATAATCATCAACCGTTGCTTAAACCATACTGTGATTTTTACTTTTTAAATCATAACTATTATTTTTTTTTTGATTAAATAAAACTGTCATATATTTCCCTGCGGCGGCCATCTGAAATCATTACCACGCGAGCGATTGTCGAGTTTGGTCTGTGTCACTTGATTTCGCGCGCTCCGTCTCGTTTTGATATTATTGTACATAGTGTGCGTCGATTACCGTTATAGGCGCTGCTATTTTGGCCTGAGTTCCGAAATAGTACTCAACTACGATCGCTGTTTTTGATCGTTGGAAGTATTTACTTTCATACAATATACTTCAATTAGTATGAAGTTCGCACATTATTATTACACCAGATAGTTAACTCGTTATAGTTATTTTGATTAAATCTGAGCTTTCTTACCAGTCGGAAGAGGGAAAAATAAATACGAGTATCAATGTTAGTGACACATTACGCGAAATAAAACGTAAAAAATAATCCTATATCTGGAGAAAAAATAATGGAGAATAAAAATGTCTGCATGCTTGCCATATGAACCAGTTCATATGGCCCAGATTATGCAGTAAAATTACTAAAAATCTACAAAGGCGACAAATTTTGAATTTCGAATATTTTACCAAGTTACGGGCGTTTTATAAAAAGTGTGTACTGTCTGAAATTATTGACTCGAGATAAGCTCGGTCAATGCCGTTGCGGCAAATATTTTTATAATAAAAAATATTAGTTACAGTTGGTTATTTTATTTATTAATACAGGTTGCAACCGTAATATTTATTTATTTATACCACTATGCTGCCGTTAGTAGATATAATATACTCACCGCAACTTGCGCTTAGAAAAGACTACCTTTTTTATGTTTCTAGCTTCCTGTTGCAAAATCTTTTTAAGTGTTAGTACGTCTTTTCTGCCTGGCAGTCCATCAGCTTTGGCACTGCCTCCTCACCTATTTGTGTTCTAATATGAGGGATATATTATAGTCAGTATACATATTGTGAGGCATAATCCTCAGGTGTCAAAGGTGACAGTCATAGAATACTATAATACATACATAACAGAACGGCGGAGTGGGCGGAGACCTTGTAGCCACTAGCATGTCACTAACATGTCAATTCACACCTATGAATGTCAACACAATGAATCGTTTTCAATCTTCGTGTCAAGCGTCGCTGCATGCAAATTATTACGTGTATTTTGTTATATTGTAATAATTACGTGTCGAAAGAACAGCGGGAAATGTAATTTAAATAAAGGAGACATATCCTACAGCCAGTAAGTCGAAACTGTTTATATTTTGTAAATATTAGAAATAAAAAGATCAAATTCAAATCAAATTTTTAAAATCTTAATATATATATATATATATATATATATATATATATATATATATATATATATATAAATTACGTGTCACGTTGCTTGACGGCGATGGACTCTTAAACTACTTAACCGATTTTAATCAAATTTGCACACCGTGTGCAGTTTGGTCCAATTTGAGAGATAGGATAGTTTTTTTTGTCCACTAGTGACCCACAATTTTTTTTTCTAATTTAAGGATTTTTAATAGGACATGACACAGGGTCGTCGAAAAGGGCAGAACAACGTCTGCCTGGCAAGCTAGTATATATGGTCACGGCGGCCTACCTCAACGGAGGCTAGCCGTCGGCGTAGAACTGGATTATAGTGCCCAAGTGTATGCGCAAGCACAGGTGCACTCTCTATTCCCTCACTCTCACAATTCGATGGTACGGTAAACCGACACGACCGGAGAGAGATAAGGCGCTGGACCAACGCATTTACGTACTTTCCGAGGCACGGGGGTGAGACACCGCCAACTTCCTGACACCGGGCAACTATTTCTTGACGGAAAAACTCAATAATTAAATTTTTGGCCTGACCCGGGATTCGAACCCAAGACCTCATGATCAGCAGTCGCACTACTACAACCACTAGACCAACGAGGCATATATATATATATATATATATATATATATATATATATATATATATATATATATATATATATATATATATAAACACTCACGCCTGTCACCCAGAGGGGTAGGCAGAGACTACAGACTTCCATTT